TAAACCCCCCCCCCCCGTCCCATCATCATCACCACGACCAGAGACCCCAGAGAAACTGCATCCAACTGGAAAAAAATGGCCCAAGAATACCTCACGGCCGTCAAAAAATATTCCAGACTTACTGACACTGCCACTGGTTTTTACGCCGTGTCTAACGACGTTACTGCAATTGACCAACTGACTTCAAAAAAAAGCGGCCGAAGCACTTCACAAAATCACCCTGACCACCCATTATACTCCCAGACCTTTGAGCTAAACTGGCCATTTTTGTACGACAACAAGACATGTAGGGGCGTCGGAAACTAAGGAATGACTCCGAATGAGGGTGATTAAAAGAGCTGAGATTGGATTTAGAAGTTACAAAAAGCCGTCCCACTGTTATTTAAATACTGGAAACATGTATTATGTAGGTTGCGGTAAAGAATGTTTAGGTTCAATAAGTTATTGATGGATTGAAGAATGATGGCGCCGAACAGCACCTGTTAATCAAAAGCTCCAAATTACGCGCACTTTATGACCCCTACCTCCATCGCTCTATAGTAATTCCTACATAGCGGACCATGCTACACCCGGACGGTAGTTGCTTCCATCACATTTGGGTGTAGCTGATCCTATATAACAAGCCACGTCATCCAATACAATACCACGCTGACGGATTGACACAACTCATGTTTACCTCCCTCATACCTTTATACCTCTCACTCTTTGTTCCATGTCAAAGATGCCACACACAGGTCCCGCCCGGCTCCTCACTATCGATAGTTCTAGTGGGGAACCACATCACCTGGGGCAGCTCCTGCATGAGCTGGTAGAAGCCCTTGTTCAGCTCGGTCCCCAGCAGCGCCTCCTTCGGCAGCCTCACGTCCTCGAAGAACAACTCGGACGTATCTTGTGCCTTTAGTCCAAGTTTCTTGAGCTTCTTGCCCTTATTAAAGCCCTTGGTGCCGGCGTCGACTATGAACAATGAGATGCCGTGGGCACGGGCCCTAGCATCCGGGTCCGTGACGGCCACGACGAGCACGACGTCGCACAGCGCCCCGTTGGTGATGTACGTCTTGGACCCGTTCAGTATCCAGTCGTCGCCGTCGCGCACGGCCCGTGTCTTGACGCCTTGCAGGTCACTGGGAATAACAATACCTGGAGGTCAGGTTAGCGACTTCCATTGCAGAAAACTGACTAGGGTGGTGTGAAATAATTTGAATTGATTAGATTTGAGGTGAAAGAGAGCATAATCTGAGCGTTAAACTTCATATCAAGGCGAATTTATCAAGTTGAATACCTTGCTCATTTCTCCATTCAAGTAAATTTTGGATCCAAAGATAGCAAGAAACTCAACAAGTGACTAGGGCTGTGTTGAATAACTGAATTCATTAGACTTAAGGCGAAGGAGAGCATAATCTGAGAGTTAAACTACACGTGAAGGCTGATTTCTTATGTCGAATACCTGGTTCATTTTTTACAATAAAGTAAATTTTGGAACACCCAAGCCAAAGACCGCCACCCCATAACCCACCTGCCAGCACCGGGCTCGGTCATGGCAATGGCTGAAATTTTCTTGCCGGCCGTCATGTCAGGAACGTAACGTTCGATTTGTTCTTTCGTGCCGTAATTCGTGAAGTACGGCATAACTACGTCACTGTGCAACGAGAACCCAGGGCCCGAGGCTCGCACGTAGCACCTGTAAATGTAACTCAATCTAATTTGCATACTCAATAAGAGGCTAGAATGCGTTGATTACTCAAATTGGGGGAAACTGCAAATAAGTTCCTTTCACATTAAACCAGCGGTTCTGACTGATCACCAACAATCTACATGCCATGGCCCATGAACATGTAAGAGTTCTGGACATACGTTTGTTAATGGTAATAAAGATATTGGTCCATACTTAAATAGTCATGATAATAACACCATACTTCATTGCCATTCCTAAAGTATTGGAGGTAGAAGAATCCGAGATGATATAGAAAAAATGCATGTAATGAAGACCTAAGAACCGACAACAGCTGCTACAAACATTAGCAAGCTGACAAAGACTAGCGCCAGAAACTGCGAGCACAAGTAAACCAAAATTTATATTTATAAGAAGACCTCACCCATCCAAACTGTGACCAGCAAACGACACACTATGACTGTCACAATGTTCAGCGCGGCTTTGCTAAGCTTAGTGCCAAATTTGTACAAAGCCGATCGCGAACGATGCTCTAGCTAGAAACGCGAATGTATTAACTTGTGTTCAGATGAAATAATCTACATGTCTCCACTCACTGTTCTTCGACAGCGATGGCACTGTGGAGAAAGTCCGCCCCGTGGCCTCCCGCCTCCGCGGGCGTCGTGATACCGAGGAGACCCGCGGCCCCCGCCTTCTCCCACACCTCACGGGACACCTGCCCGTCCTCCTCCCACCTGCACGAGGGACACTGGTGGAAGGGGACTTTGATATACAGAGGACATTGTTGGATGCGTACACTAGTCGACAGGGGACACTGCTCCACTCACTGTCACTGCTCCTCTCACTGCGCATGGTACTGCACCACTCACTACGCATGGTACTGCACCACTCACTGCGCATGGTGCTGCACCACTCACTGCGCATGGTACTGCACCACTCACTGCGCATGGTGCTGCTCCACTCACTGCCCATGGCACTGCTCCACTCACTGCCCATGGCACTGCTCCACTCACTGCGCATGGTGCTTCACAACTCACTGCGCATGGCACTGCACCACTCACAGCGCATGGTACTGCTCCACTCACTGCGCATGGTACTGCACCACTCACTGCGCATGGCACTGCTCCACTCACTGTGCATGCTACTGCACCACTCACTGCGCATGGTACTGCACCACTCACTGCGCATGGCACTGCTCCACTCACTGTGCATGCTACTGCACCACTCACACCGATGTCCAGGAAGGAGTCCGCTTGTGAGGTTGGGATACGCTTCCTGCAACACAAGCTGGCATTTTAACCCTGTACCGCCGTATGTCACTCTCCGGGAACGGGGAACATAATTTCAACTTAAATTATTCGTAAACTATTGAGTGTATCAACCTGAGGACGGCAACCATCAGTGCAAGTCAGTTTGCGCTCACTAGAACGTATCCTTTTTGGAGAAGGCTTGTGACAATATTGCTCCGGTTACTCATGTCTGGCGGTAGAGGGTCTAACACTCTAACTGAATACAGTGATAATAAGTGTCAAAATTTGATACTTGAAAGGCTTGTCAGTTGTCACAAAGCTGGCGCACAGGAACAGTAAAAACCGGGACACAAGCGGCATAAGAATTAGAGTTAGGACAGCTGCGACAGCAATATCTATTTTCCAGGCTTAAATTTTGGACATTCAAGAACTCGATACATTGATTTGTTCAAAAACTTCTACGAACACCCCGGTGCTTTTCTTTATACTTCTAAAGGATATAGACAGAAAATAGACACAACTAGGAGTCTAGGAGGCATATGATATTATAAATTTAATGTGTTGTTATGCTTATACACAAGAAATAAATAATAAATAAATAAGAAAGAAATAAATAAAGAAATTTGAGAAACTCAGTTAAAGTATTGTAAGTTACAAAGCCCTGGCATTACTAGTTACTACGCACCAACATCACAGCATGCGTAAATTACTAATCTAATCTTAGCTGTGTAACACGATTTAGTGTCACTCCGGCGATGACAACTTACGGCTTATCTTCATGACTACAATGTCTTGCCGCTGTCGTGGATAACTGCCTTTTCGTAGTCTGACACGCGATGTTTCCAACACGCATGAAACGCATACATGCGTGCGTTAATTTGTTTATCATCTTGAACTATTGAGGCAACAGATTGAATCTTATATGATTTTCGCACCACCGGTTCTATTGTAGCTACTACAGCAGAACCTGAGTTAGTAAGTCGCTTCTATCTCGTAAGTCGTATCCTACGTGCAGGCTTATCTCTGCTCGCAGTAGTTGCCTAACGTAAACAACCTGTAATAATTTGTAATTAGAAGTATATGTTTTTTGTATTTATTAAGAATCAATACAATAATTCGACGAACCAAAAAACGAATCTTTACTATTTATTACGAGTTAAAAAAGATACTTTCTAGAACTGCGTTTCCACAGCAATAACAGCACCGTCGGCAACCGTTCTCATGTACAGCTTTTGGTCAACTGAGGTCTGACCGTCTGACTCACGGTCTGAGTCTGTTCTGTTTGCCTCTGTGTTGTGTGTTCGTACTTCGTAGCGGTGCAGAGTGCAGACTGTAGACTGCACTCTGCAGTCCATGCCAGTTGCCACCTGTAATGCAGATGCATTGGAGTTGACGCTAGACGTGTGTATGATGATTTAGATTTTAGAGGAGACACTGAGGGAGGACCCATATGTTTCTAGGGATACATAAATCGTCTTAATTGTTATCATCATTTGAGAGAAACTAGACATAGAGAGTTGATTTCTGTGTAGAGGACAAAATGATACACGATTCCTTCAGGAATATTGTACTCAAAGTACTCAATAAAGTACAGTTTACTTCGTAGGTAGATCAGAGAGCCAGAAAATTTTTGGGAATGTGGGTCTTTGGTCGTGTTTACCATTACACATTTCTTCCTCAATTTCATAAAAAATTCCACTTTTTTGCTAAAAAGATATGTGTTCAAAAATTAGGGGCGACTCAGTAGCATTTGTTTGCTCTATTTACGCCCGCATAATTATTCTTTCCCATCTTTGTACCTGACATAGTACGTACCCATGGTTTAATTAATATTAATTCAACCATGGTACGTACCTATATATGTTTGCATTCAGCATCTGATGATTACGATAGAACACGTCACCTAGCGGTTGTGTTCTCTGTGCATCTGCTTGAAATTCGCAACATAAAATTTTTTAGGAAAGCGGTACGGGAGGAATTATTGCCTATTTTTACGTCCTTTCATTTTTTTATCAAAATAAACCTATCTGTACCTATCCGAAACTAACCTAATTGTCTTGTTTCGTTTTCATAAAAAACGAAATGACGTCAAAATCTGTAATAACTACACCCTGGTCGCATTGCTAATAACCTGTTATTTTCTGAAATTCAAGCAGATCCGTTCATAATTGGAACAGTCATGATTTGAAAAGTTTCAAAAAAGTTGCGTTTTTCGTTTTAATCAAAAAGTAAATAACGTAAAAATCTGTAATTATTCCTATCACGTCACATTGCTAATAGCTATATTCTGGATTTCAAGCAGATCAGGTGGTCATAGTTGAATCAGTTATGCTTTGGGCAGTAAGTAGCGCAGGCGAGTTCGCGGAGTTCAGTCAAATGTAGATTAGGTTCAGTTGGTCCACACGTCGCAACGATACGAAAATGATAAACAGTAAGATCCAGGTACTGGCATGAATTAACCTGCAGCAGGGGAAGAAATAAAGTTTTGGCTAACCTTAGGCTTTCTCAAACATGTATAAGCATGATTCAATAGTTCATTGCGGGGTTCATACATTTTACTCATTCCTGTTAGTTTCGATAAGATTATCTGCGTATCCGCGCCCAGTTGGGAACCCAGCAGCTGACGCATTTATTCTTTTAATCAACAGCCGAGAGCCAGGAGCACGTTGCTGATTTTCAGTACTTACGATTGACACTGATACTAATGATGCTCATTAATATCTAACTACTAATCGTTGCCGATCGGTATCATTAATTATATTGTATTCAATGAAGCATGTAATCAGCAGCTAGGTCTTTGGATTAAGAGTACCATTATCGATCATTTATTCGATAAATAATAAATTAAAGTTGCCTGCAGTCTCTTTTCAATAACAATTATGAGGAATCAAACAATCATCTTCAATTATCCTTTTATTTAACTGAATAATTAAAGGCAGGTAATTACAGAGGAGTTGTACGTACACACAAAACATTTCTCTTGATACTTAATATATAAACGTACGATGAAGTACGTGATAATTGTACAGAGTACAACAGCAGCTGGTACTAGCGTACCAACAACAGTTCAGGCAGCAGCAGCTGTAGCAGCCACGGCTGAAGAGGCAACAACCTTCGTTCCTCAGCGGTCATTAAGCGGCAATAGCCAATAAGCGATGGAAATTGATATGTACACTTGATAATTAAACTGGTCCCCTGCACAGCAAGGGTCGTCCCCTGGACAGCAGCTTCTATAAAGTGGCTTCATAGATTTAATTAAAAGGCCGAAAATTAGGCAACAAATTACAATAATTCTACATAATTACGATCATTGGGTCTAATTGGCCGATCAATGCTAGCTGATTATAATACATCGTTAACTATATGATGGAATTATACATGATTATTCTCAACGGTAATTACCTCGAGATAGTTATAATACAATACACAATATATACACTCACCACTCACGAGACATGTCACTCACCACTCACGAGACATGACACTCACCACTCACGAGACATGACACTCACCACTTACGAGACAAGACACTCATCATTCACGAGACATGACACTCACCACTCATGAGACATGCCACTCACCACTCACGAGACATGTCACTCACCACTCACGAGACATGCCACTCACCATTCACGAGACATCAATGCAGTTTAAACATAATGAGTGAGATCAGATGACACATCAAACTATTTACAATTGGCGATATTTCTGTTCAATTAACAACATAACAGAAGAACTTTTCCCTCTCCTGCTGATTATGAAAAGCTGCTAACGATTGACATTTTCAAATAAACCTTTTAAGACAAAACTAAATCTGTACATGAAGTCTAAAAACATTTGAATGTAATTATAGAAAATTCAATACAGGGGACAGGGAAATTCCTGCATGAATAAAGCAGGTAATTAAAACCAATAATGCATTTTCCGAATACAACACAAGCTTGACCTTTTGATAGTATTTGAAAACAATAAATAGCAAACAATGCAGCTTTCGACTAGATGTTCTTCAGTTTAATCTGTCTTAGTTATGGCGACTTGACACTGCAAGCGAGTCGTGTACCCTCTTAAGTTAACTCGTAATTAACAACACAAATGAGGCCACTGAAGCCACGTGAAGACTATCCTTGTAGCATGGCTTGGTCTTGAGAAGGATACCAAAAAATTAAAAAAAGAGGATTCTTGGTTCTTTTGAGGAGGATCCAAAAGCTGTGTGACGGAATATGCATCCCTCCAAACGCAGCATCGATGGTATATTCAACCAAGCCTCTAAAAGTTTGGTTGAAGGTGGAAGCAAGCGCGTCGTTGTTGATGAGGCAGGTTGCCCGAGGGCGTGGAGTGGAGCGATGCTCAGCTTCAGTGGTCGTCAGATAGATATGGGGTTAGATAGGGAGAGGGAGGTTAGTTATGTGGGAGAGATATTCGGGGACTTTATGGGTTAAGCTGTTGTGGGCATTGTGGGGTTAGGTGGGCATTACAGGGTTAGGTGTACATTGTGGGGGTTAAGTTGGCATTACGGGGTTAGGTTGGCATTACGGTGTTAGGTTGGCATTACGGTGTTAGGTGTGCATTGTGGGGGTTAGGTTGGCATTACGGGGTTAGGTGGGCATTACGGGGTTAGGTGGGCATTACGGGGTTAGGTGGGCATTACGGGGTTAGGTGGGCATTACGGGGTTAGGTGGGCATTACAGGGTTAGGTATGCGTGTCTGCAACACGCGGACGTGGCGGTAGAGTTTGAGTGCAGGGCCAAGCTTGAGGCCGAGGCTGGAGATGACGTCAGCGCGTGACAAGAGCAGCACGGCGCACCCATCGATGGCCTGCGCACAAATTCCTTATTTATTTAAACAACTCTTATTGAAGGATGATTATGCTCGCAAATTCCGCAATAAAAACTCAACTGTCATCTATAAAAATTTGATCCTATCACACTGCGTAGGATCTCGTCTCACTGCCACATTCCATCTCATTAAATGGTTCATATTTTTTGAATCATTTTTGTTATAGCTAAATATGTGCGAGAAGCTTACTTGTTCTTTTAGAGTCTGAGCTTCCTCCTCGAAACCCTTCCCCGCGAAGTGGGTTACTACCTCCTCCACACTCCAGTGGGTTGCATTGGGGATTGAGGGATCAAACCCACTGCCTCCGCTCGACCGGCTCTCGTCGTCCCCAGGTATTGGGGAGTCCCGAGGGGTGAGGGGGAACCCTCCCCCAGGGGTGGAGTTGTACTGGGATGATCTGTAACCTGGCAACACAGTTGATGTTGTACTACAAATGATACAATGACTGAATACTACAAGATACTGACCATATCCCTAGTTAATGTGAAAGTACTACAAGATACTGACCATATCCCTAGTTAATGTGAAAGTACTACAAGATACTGACCACATCCCTAGTTAATGTAAAAGTACTGCAAGATACTGACCATATCCCTAGTTAATGTAAAAGTAACATTAAAGTTAAATAATGTAAAATGTAGTTAATGTGGAAGTAATATAAAAAAGAATTTGTTTCAATTATGAATACCGGTATCTGAGTATTGNGTCCATGTTGCACACTCACTATGAGGTGGTCCATGTTGCACACTCACTATGAGGTGGTCCATGTTGCACACGGTGCAGTGCTTGCAGTCCATGCAGGTCCACGGCTGCTTCCTGCTGCGCTCTGCCAGCACTGCGCTGTAGCCCAGGCATGAGGGGTGACCTGCCATATAAGTGATATGTTAGTACAAGCTCAATTCCTTGTACAATATGATACATCTCTTTAATTGCAAATTTGGTTTACTAGAATGAAAAAAATATATTGTATATAGTCATCACTATGCTAAATTTCACAGATCCCAAGTTATGCTAATTAGTAAGAAGAAAAATAGGGGACCAGTGCCCTCTGTTAACAGAGGGCTAGTCTCTGTCTTCTGAAACGGAGGGCTAATGCACAGAAGTGCTAAAAAAAGTGAAATTATGCTCCTGTTATATGCTTATGCTTCTAAATAATAAAGCATTAAAATTGTTAGTATGAAATTTAAAATCTGAAGTAAGATTGAAGAACTACAAATTGAAGCAACAGTAAGGTGAAAAACTAGAAGCTCATAAAATTGTAATTTCTAGATGAAGCAAGAAAAATATCAACATAGTCTTGTCCTAAAACCAGAGTACTTCTAAGCAAGCTGCAAGCTTCAGCAGCTAACATATTACAGTAATAAAGTTTGATTTCCTTGCATTACAGTGACAATTCACTACGTAGTGATTTGAGCAACGCAGACGTTATAGCAGTAGAGGCAAAGTTGTAGCACTTGGAATGGATCACATCTATAGTTGGTGGGCAAATCTCTAATCCAATATCATAGTCCAGTTGTCAAAAAGTTTTCACATCAAATTTGGTAGAGTGAGCAGTACTAGATACAATAGTGGTACTGATATAAAAGGCCAACTGTGACTATGCAGTGTTCATTTTGATAGGACTCATAGAAGAATAAGGCCTGTCAGCCTGTGTATACTAATAGTTACTAGTACAAGGATTTCTAAAAAATATTAGACTGATTTGATGTATCCCAGCAATATCCATCCATCCCAGCAATATCCAGCGCACGCTTACCAGTTGCAGGACAAGAGGAGCAGCGCAGAAGGAACTCGTCCGTTGAGCCAGCATCCCCTTGGCAGATGTCGCAAAGGCTTTCCCTGTTTACAATAATTAAATGCTTAATAGATAACTCATGGCGAGATTTTTAATGCCCTTTAGAGCAAGAAAGTACATGCAACTTTTTATTTCACTTAGACTGTTATCATTAAGGACATTTACAATCAAGTTATCTTCTAATCATGTAAGAGTTTTCAGCTTGAAAGTTGAATATCCCCTGAAATTCAAAAGTTATTGTGCAAATCAGATTATTCTATGTGCCTTTAATAAACACATACAATTATTTGATGGCATTGCAACCTGAGCACAAAGTTACTTCATAGGTTAGGCAACAGACCTGCTCCTGCTCTTTGTAAATTATGCCCAGCAAAAAAATACTTGATAACCGTGATGCTATAAAACAATAAAAACAATAAAAACATGAATTAAGATAAGATAATTTTCAACACAGCACAACAATACACACCCTTTGCATGAATAATCTGCACTTGAATTACTGGCAGCGGCAGATCTCCGCTTACTGCTACAGTAGTAACTGCTGCCACTACCACCAGTAGTGGGAAGTCTGGTACTTGCTGACGAGGCATTATAGGGGTACGTGGTACCTCCATTGTACTGGTACTGGCTCGAGGGAGAGTGGTTGTTGGGAAGTTCAATGATGCCTCCTTCACTTGGGTCGTAAACCCTCTTCGCCCTCTACAAAAGAAAACAAATAATAAATCTGGTTAGAAATTGTGGATTTCATGTGAGTTAAAAAGGATTTCCTGTTAAATTAAAACACTTAGTTTCATTTAAGATTGTTTGCTATTAAAAGTTAATGCACTGATGCGTCACAAGTAAGGAAACAAAAAAAATACAATCTCCTGGAATTGTTTAGCAAATTGTAAGTATACATTAGTCTACCGTCAATCCCACATTTCCACTGTCACCACGTCACTAATTTCGCCGGCCTTCATAAGAAACTATGTTTAGTGAACAAAATTGAGAAACAATTTTCCAAAGGGATCGAAAAAGCTTCTTAGTTATTACATGGAAATTGAACCTAAAATCGTAATTATGACAAGTATTATACGGTTTCTATTGACAAACGGCGACTCAAGTGCAGTGGCTGCTGAATGGCGACTTATGTGTCATTGGCTGTAGCCTGTAGGATGTGTGGATAAACCATAGTTATTGCTTTAGAATTTAGAAGCATAGGAATTAATAACCTAAATTAAGTTAAGCAGGCCTAAGGAGTTAATAACAATAATGCAATGTGATAGTTTTGTATAATAGCCTAACACATAGTTAAGGCCGGTAATTAAAAATAAACTTGCTGCATTCGCATGGATGGATAAGTATTCAACAATATGATTATATGAGTACTTCAGTCGGCCCACTTGGAGGCTTGAAGCCAAGGCACTGGATTAGTTAAGTGTTATCCTTGAGCAAACGGTAAATCCGGATACTGTGCAAGCAATATATAGTCACCATTCAATCATTAATTTGAATGATGATATCGCAATGCTATTCTCGTAGTTGTAAAACAGATGAGCCAGGAGTTTCCATGTTAGCGGACATCACAGCGAGTGCAACAACTCACTCAAACTGCTGCAAACGCGGCCTTAGGATCTTCACAGTGACTGCGAGTCAATATTTTGGGATGCCAGAAACTAAACACCAGATGATATTAAATACTTGAGACGCATCATATATATGACAGAAAAACTGAGTTTTTAAATGAACTTATCCAAAGGTGACGTGAATTGTGAACTTACAACCGTCGAGAACTTGCAAGCATGCTATGACTTACGATCATAGGACTTAGGTCGCCTCAGAACTTTCACGCTCTCTAGAACGAATGTTCCTATTTACAACCATCTCAGAACCCGAGATGGTCGTAGAACAAATGAAATTTGTACGCGATTGGCCTGGCGCTTAGCTAGCCTACGTGAGCAGGATACCACCACCCGCAATCACGATCCACGATAGCCAAAAGCAACGTGCGGGTCAGGGTGACAGGTTCGTAATTAGATCATAAATGCGTGCGCATTCTTTCGGCGATTTGTGGTCACCAGCCACATCGCCAGGGCGGGTAGATGGCACGCGTTCACGCCCACATTTAAATGCGGCTCCCAGATACCCTGCGGGACTCCCACTTACTCCGCGCGACTCCCACTTACTCCGCGCGACTCCCACTTACTCCGTGCGACTCCCACAGCGCGACTCCCACTTATACTCCGTGCGACTCCCACTCACTCCGTGCGACTCCCACTTACTCCGCGCGACTCCCACTTATACTCCGTGCGACTCCCACTCACTCCGTGCGACTCCCACTTACTCCGCGCGACTCCCACTTATACTCCGTGCGACTCCCACTCACTCCGCGCGAGTATCGTAGCGCATAACTACTAGTTACTCCACGCTAATCTGATGTTGTCACACCATCAATGTCAATAATAACGTGCAGCACGTAACTATTTCAATAGCATCTTGTGAGTATTACACGTAAACCAGGTGAGTAGTAAAAGAGGAAGAATCGAGCATTTAAATGAAAACACGCGGGACTTACACGTGCAACACGTGTTAATGACATTAGCAACACGTGTTAATTACACACGCGACACATGAGAAATACTCATAAAGAATCGTGACATGACCAACAAGAGACATGACCACGTACGCAATTGTATCGTTGCCGCATTGTCTTAATCTGGCACCATAAAAGTTTGTGTTGATAAGTGGACAAAATTTAAGATCTGATGCCTCATTTGGCTTTAAACATTTGCTTCATCATTTTCCAACAACTTTCTAAGAAGATTCATGATTCAAACGTTCTCATTACAAAATGATGAAAATCGAAAATCGAGTTCACTGAATGGGAAACCGTCAAGTCCATGCGAAAACAACAAAGAAAATAAATAGCCTTAGGTAACGATTCCATAAACTCGGCCGGCGCCGGATCGCCAGTAAACATTAGTAATTCGGTATAACGAAACGTGAAAACTCACATGCTTACTTAAAAAAAATACTTATCGAGATTTAATTCAGTTATAAAATTTTATTGTTAGGCTTTACAGTTGTGGCATGTAATGTAAACTCGGTGTCGGTGGATATACCTACCTAACTATAGCAAGTTTACATGATTACTTCACCCACTGACCCACCTAGATTAAAATTACTAATGCAATAGTGAATAAAGAATTGCAAGTGCTAAGTCGAAAATTAGTCGTATCGGAGAACAGCGAATATAAACGCAATGAAATAAACTAAGGATACAAAATACAAAGCTCAAATTCACTTTACTTGCACATGTGAATCTTTTAAATTCCTTTGCATACCTTAGGTCTCGAAGACAACTGCCGGGGTCTTCTAGTCTGTGCGTGATTTAGACCCAGCGAAGACAAAGGAGGTCTACCCCTCCGTGCTCCACGAAGTGGGGGTGCTCTAGGTGGGGCACAAGGTGTCTCAAACTCCAGAGCTTCGTTACTATCACCCTCTTCTGAACCACCTCCAGCAGGAGTAGAGCTTCCACTTCTTTGAGTTGCTCCATTACAGACTCCTCCGTCTCCACCGCCACCTTGTATAACCCGACTGATGGTATCCTCTATCGTGCCACCAGAACATGTGGGAGAGTCTGTTGTATCATTCATGCGCGCGCACGACTTCGAGCTGGAGGCGTCGAAGTTCTCCAGCGATGAGGCGCCTTCGCCTCGGATTGAGGGGCCGGCGTGCATGCGAGGTCTGGGAGCGCTGCCGACGGCTGCTCTCATGCCGGCATCGCTTGAAGATCTTTGATTGACCGAGTACCCGGTGCTTCTTCCTCTTGAAGATGAAGATCCTTTAGACTGTGATGTGCGTACACTAAAATCTGACGACGGTGATGCTTTGTGTATATTGTGCATTGGTTCGCCAGTCACGTCCACTATCTCGGGGTCGCTCTCTGAACTGTCTGAGGAAGCATCGCGACTAAGCGTTGTAGTCGGACGCTCATCTTCTCCAGCGTCTTTCGTGTTGGGAGGAACGCGATATGAAATAGCTCCTTTGAAGTGCACGCGCAGGATATCTTTGCTCTCAACGAGAGCTTCTATAAAGCCGAGGAGAGTCTTCTCTGAGTAACTGTGCTGGCGTTGTATAAGCCATGCGATTTTCTTCAGGTTGGGGCGAACGCGTCGACTGCGCAGCACTTGTATAGCGCGTATGATCATGTTTTTGATTTCGTTACTCACCATATTGTCAGTTTTCATAGAAAACAACTCAGAATTTAGCTACATATGATGTCAATAATTAACGAGTTACACTTGCGATTGACGCACTCGCTTAATCTTAGAATGTGCACACAGTATGTTCACGTGGTCGCTTTAAGCGAGCTTCCACACCCACTCTCACTGAAGTCCGTCACTGATATGACCGACTCAGTCACGCGAAATCCACTCTTACCAAAGCTGACCTCAGCGTACCAAGACACAGAAATTTTAAGATGCCTTTTTAGATTTAATATAATAGATAAAAATGCAACCTTTTTCCAAATTCATGCCGTGCATGTGTGATCTAAAACACGTAAGACGAAAGAAAGGACGTTTACGAACAGTTCAAAAGCAACCACATATTTGGTGCAATTGTACTAGATCTCAGAATAAACACTAGATGGCAGCGCGGGAGCGCAGCTGGCGTTCGCGCATGCGCAGTGAGCCGGTCGACGGCAGTCGGTCTAGATAATTTATCGATACCTTACTACAATCAAACGACAAAACCTGCCTTAACGAAACTAATATAACTCGATCAGGTAGTACGTGCACTTATAAAAAGTTTCAAGTAAATAATATAGAAATAAATTAGGAAAGTGAATGGTGTACCGAGCGAATCGAAGAATTAAAGCTGGAAACATCTCGCTTCAAAAACTAACACAATTAAACCACGTTCCGCTACTGGCGACTTCCTGTCTTGCTCATCAAAATGCAATGGTGTAATGTTAACACCCAAAAATCGTATGACTGAATCTTAACTCGTATTGAAATAATGTTAAGGGTGCGATTCGAATTTCTGGATAGCAGCCACCGGTATGAGGGAGAGAAGCACACTTGGTATCCTACATCATAAATGGCGGACAGAGCGACTTAGTGATTATGCCTTTACTATGGCCAGCGAGAAACCTAAGTCGAACATGTCTGAGTAATTGGAGCATTTCAAAATACGATTAGCATCACGTGCGTATGGACGATGCTACAAGAACTTACATAAAAACACTTGAAGCCAAACATTCGTTCAAGATTCTTCTAGCAATTATAAAAAAAACACTAATTTTTCAGCTTGCACTCTACTACGCCATATGAATAATGTCACTCATCCGCAGTGAATTCATGATAAATGAATCACAGTAAGTTAATTCAGCTATTATTATAACAAATTTAAATAAAGATCCAACGGAATTGCCTGAACGTTACCCCTAAGGGAATTTAGAATAGTTAATAAATTTGTACAGTCGAGCGGAGAAGCCTTACTGTGATGGTGCTTTCTGAATGTAAGGCCATGCGCATAATAATGGACATTCTTACAAATTTAATTTTGCGTTCCGAACTGGTATTACGATTGGTATGAAAGAAGTATTATTCTTAAAAACTTGATGGAACCATCCGCACAATGATTACTAACGCATGCAAAATGACGTAATAGAGCTGAATTTGCCCATTTAGTTAGCATAACCAAACGTTCGTAACCATGCGTTGATGCCAGTAAATTTAGTCGAGTCATTCTATAGCAAGAGTTCCTTTCAACACGAAGTGTGACCAGGCAGGATGACTGCGAAGTGTGACTATGTCACGGCTCAAATGTTCGAATAAGGAGTGTAATTTATCACTAGATAATTCGACTAGGTTATTCGACTTTACTAGACAGTTTGAAAAAGCAGTGCGACTAGTACACATGACAGGATAGTCTGACCTGGAAGGGCGACTATAGACCACGCAACAGAAAAGTGCGACTAGGCTGGGAGACCATCCGGCAATGGAACAAGATAGAGCAACTAGTGGTGTGATTAGTGAACGTGTGAGTATAAGTGAGATTTCTTAGGGCACTGATTTCCAAATTGTAGTACGCCTACCACTAGAGAACCTTCACGTTGTCCCAAATACTCATGTACGATTTTCAGTTAGCTTCTGTTTGCTTCCTTCACAAAAATATTCAATGTTAAACACAACGCGATATGGTAGCGATTTACTAAAGTTGCCAGAAACTACGCGCCCGGTTTCAGCGGCATAGGTACAGTTTGGTTTCAACTACAACGATGACAATGGGCTCTTCTTTCTAGCTACGAAGATCATGATAAGTTTCTCAATTCAGCATTTACGGCTTTTGGAATTAAATAATAATAGTTTGAATGCTCTCTGTTATTCAACGAAACTTGCATTAAAGAACAGCTTCTGCATTACTATCCCAATATTTTTACAAACAATACATATTTGCGTACTTTTTACACACAATATTCATGTATTACCATATTTGTACAAAAAAATGCATAGGTTTCCAAGTTTATGCACATAACACAGATGTTTCTCAAAATTTGCAGACACAATATGCATTTATTTCCACGTCTAAAAACAAATACGCATTTAGTACCAAGTTTGAACACACAATTTATAAATATTACGAAGCTGGTTCATGCGCTGCTGCGGGAATAGAATCTTCCATCAGAACCTTCAACCATCTCTATCATATGGATATCATCTTATTCTTCGTGCACGATTCATGTACTGATGTACTGACCGCTGATATCAGGCCCAACCTCACCCAGTCGCCAACAAATTAATACTGACAATTGTATTACAATTTCCAACTCTCATGCACACCCCACTCCCCCCAGGAGGGGGGAAAGCGTGCCGCTACACTTGGGGAGTCATTCCGATCTCTTTGAAGTTGGAGCGATCATATCTGTATACCATCGAAGGCATACTAATTTCATTGAGGTTTCCGTGTTTTACCACCTGCGAGGTTTGACCTAATGGATAAGTTTATTATACACTTTTGAAATGCGTGCCATATACGAGCACCATTATTTTTTTATTTTAATGCGTCTCATCTACGAGCACCATTACAATATATTACTCCAAGATTTCAACTGAAGCTAAAGCATTAACGTTAACTTCATTAAAGCGTTAACATTAACATTCTGAGAAGAAGCACCTGGTTTTTATGCTTAACCATATGTGTACTCAAATTGAGTAAAACTTGAAACTCAAACTAGAGTAAAACTAAAATTTACTCAAATTGAGTAAATTGTACTCACTTAACCATATGTGTACTCAAGCATGCGTTTCACACGTTCCATAACGTTAAGCTGTCGCGGCTACACTGCATGGAACTAACGACATATATACATATTTGGCAATTGGACTAGCATGTGTTATGTAACACACTTATTTTGAAAGTTTGCGGGTTTTTATAAGCCACGGCTCCCTAAATATAAAGGGATCGAGGGAGTATCGTTGTTACTTGTCGTGTCGGGATTTTAACAAGGAATAAAATATAACTTCAGTGATGTAATCACGAGACATCGAATAATATGCGGTTACAAATTTCTTTTTAAGGTCAACACTTCTAAAGAGGCCAGTGTCTCCGATGTAACACACGTACAATGAATTTCTTATTTTATTGTAAAATATTAAAACAAATTATTTTAAATTTTTTTATTATTAAAATTTTTCAAATAATATTTTCTGTCAATTGATTCATGCATTGTCTTTTATTTTTTTATTCATGCATTATTTTAACTAATTTGAATTAAGATCCAACGGAATTGTCTGAACTCTGAACGTTACCCCTAAGGGAATTTAGAATAGTTAATAAAATTGGACAGTTACAGCAATGATTTATGCATCATTTTACCTCAAGGGTTCAAAATTTCAGATTGATTGGACAGGTAGAAGTGTGTTAAATGTCGATTATAAGATTTGTAGCAGACAAACAAAAAGCAAACAAACCACAATATGTGAGGGTAAAGAGAAGTGTTATAAAAATAGGGGCGAGGGAGTTAGATCAAAAATCAAAATGTGATTCCTACTTAATATTTCCTTCTAATTTAAAAGCAGAATTTCAAAGAGAGTAACGTGTGGGTGTAAAATAGACTTTTTTAGTAAGAGACTTTATCTTTCATATTGATTTTTTTGATTTTTAAGTTTATTCATGATTCAAATGTCGCAAAGTAATTGTATAATTTTTTAAACGATTTAAAGGGAGTTCGTTTGCCATGTAAAACTTTAATTAAACGGGTCTTACGCTGATTAGCCTAAATAGGCTTCTTATTAACGGAATTATTGAAAACAAAAATGACGAAATTCGGGATAACGGGATGCTTAACTTGCAGTAATCAGCGAGCCTTGGCAAAAACGGGCGGCCATTCTGCTACTTATTTTATTTAAATTTCAGCTCCCACAATAACTCCTAAACTATAGGCATCCTAATTGAAGAAAGATCCCATGCAGCCTAATTTAACAAGGAACGACTATTCAGCCTGCACCTGGAAATTGCGCATGGATTAAAATTTGTACTTATAATTTTAATTTATAAAAATTAATACTAACTTTAATTTTTCTGCAATTCACCCCGTTTTGTAATGCTTCACGATTCCCCCGCCAACATTAAAACTTATTGGCCCAGTGGTTAAAGTTCAGAGTACCAAGATTGACGCACTAGAGAGGCGCGGGTTCGATCCCAGCTCTGTGCGCCAGTTTCTGGTCAGAATCGGCAAGGAGGCCGGGCGGTTAAGCACAGCAGAATTGTAGCAGTGCGTTGAGAGTTCGAGACCTCAAAATGCTGTGAATGTTCTGCGATGTTGAGAATCGGCGACAGGCCTACGGCCTAATAAACGCTGAAACCGCTATTATTATTATTATTGTGCCGGTATCTCGACACGGCAGGTATCCTGGATACGAGCCCCAACAGCCGCTCTACGTCGGAATCAAAACTACTCAAGTCCACTGTTAAATTAAAAAATTAAGGGATAGACCTCATACAATGAGCAAATAATTTGAAAGCCATTTGAATATAGGAAAACAATTTTAATAAACTGTGCATGAGGTAGAGAAGCGCCACAAGTAAAGTTCGTACCGGATTTGCAATCCACAGGTTGACATGAAGATTTCGGACTCTCTGTACAGAATTAACCGTTTCTGCTCTGTGCAATATTGAAAATAATTACACAAGATCTAACTGCTGCTTGAGCAGCGGGAGCGATAGCCACAACGAGAGGATTACATCCTCTCCCTGGCCATCCCATTCATTCACCCTCTCCTTGGTTCCTCCAGGAGTAAAATCAGCAACTCGTCCGCACGCTTCCCCAATGATAATTATTGCAAAAGCCAGCAATTACCTTTGGAAGCCATTCATTACAAAGTATTCTTTTGAATCATAAATTAATGACGGTATAATAAATGCATGACTACACCAAGAGTTGTATTGGCCGCAGACAAGCTTCCCGGCACAACTGCAAGAGATCACTACGCGGCATGAGGGAGACTTAGCCAGTATTGCGATGCCCTTACTGCCTCGTGTAGGTCA